AATTTACCACATTATTGCAATTAAAACCACTTATAAAGATCACTAATTTGAATCACTTCAAAGATTATTTGAAATTGAATATTAAATAATTATTTAAAAAATATCCAAAGAATAATTGCAAGAAATTATTGTCTAAGATAATTGGAAATTTATTTTAATGATATTGGTTCACTTTTTAAGAAAGACGACCTTGCCCTATGCTAATGTAGAACAGGGAAAGTTAATTAAGTGAAATTTTATATCGGATGAAGAAATAACGCTCATAACGGATCGGTTAATATCTCAAAATTGGCTTCATTTTTTGTCCGATTTAACAATATTACATCCGACAGTGAGCCGAATATTTTAAACAAGTCTTCAATACTATTTACTTATAATTATTTAATAATAATAATATAATTACTATATATAATAAAAATTTCCTCTCTCTAAGAATGTTTTCAAACAAAAATTTTTTTTTTGTATTTTAATCAATTGAATTCTTGTCATGATTTTGCAGCTATTTCGGATTTCACAAAATCATCGCATAATCAGCAATATTTGGAAACATCTATTGTCTTTATTTTCCGTATGTGGTTTGGGGGCTGAAAGTCGCAGGAATTTAACTCCTTCGAATTTGAACCGTGGATCTGGGTATTAACGCACACAATCAACGTGCTATTGCTATATAAATTTAGAGTTTTGATTATATCTTTTGTTTATATATAAACAGACCTCATAATTTCTGTATTATTAATTGGATCAAATGCATAAACAACAGCTATATAAATTAAATTAAATTATAAATTATAAATTTTAATCTTTTCAAATTTTAGCAAAATATAATCTTCAATAAACATTTCTGCATATTTACTCCTAATTGCTTGTATTATGTAAATGTATTTAAAATGTGTTTAAAGTGTTTCTATAAAAATATATATTAAATTAATTTTAACATTTTGTTTATTTTAATCAACACTGACGCTGAGTTTCAATCTGGACTACCTACGGGTTCAACCCTTTTTTCAGGGGTACGTAACCCTTGTTACGAATAATTAAATATAAGAAATAATTCCAAATCCGCTGATTATGGGTAGTGGTCATACTTGAAACAGCTG